TTAAAGCAGCCTTCCTGTCTGGTGTGGACTCACAGTACCCTGTGGTAACCATTTAAAGGAACTAGGATGGAGAATATCCATATTTTGGTTTTCTAAGAAATGAAAAGCTAAGGTCTCATGGTTCTAATGGCTGATGAGCTCCTTAAGAGCAGCAGGGTGGTGACTTCCCGATTTTGCATTTCTAGAGCCAAATTAACAGATGCTCAGTAAAAGCTGATGAGTGGAACTGAAAATAAGCATGGATGTAAAGTCTCATAGCATCAAAGGTCTAACCTGAAATACTTGACTAGTTTTCTGAACACCTGGATTCTTTGTCTCTGCTTTTATTCATGAAAAGAAAGCAGTCTTATGAGCACAGTGTTGCATGTCTACAAGGGGCTTAGTCATTTCTAGCCCATGATAACTTTACTCTGCATTGATAGTGTGGGCGAGACTGCTGATGTGGGGGCACATCTGTGTACCCTAGTGAATGAAACACGCAACCAAAGCTTCGCTGGTGTGACTCGTGAGAACGAGAGGAAGCGTGGGCTTCTTTGCCTGGGCCTGTGCTACAGTCAGGGCTCCTCTAACTTTAACGTGCACTGAGGCGTCTGGGGACCTTGTTAAAGTGCAGATTCTAATTCTGTAGGTCTGGGGCCAAAGTTCTGCAGTTCCCACATCACCCAGGTGAGGCCGGCTGCTGGTCCTTGCACTACCCTTTGAATGACAAGGTTCTAGGGAACTGTTTCTGAGTGGCTTTCTCCTAACAAATGTAAGATGTTCTTAGGTAGTTCGTGCTGACGAAGTTACTTCCTTCAGAGAGAAGCCCTGGTTTTGGCTAGTATTAACACTTCTTTAATATTAGCTAATCTATTTAGAAAAAGAGAAAGAGAGCAAGAGGTAGTGGCCCCAGGCTTCCAGCCCTCAGCAGGCACCAGCATTGAGCACCAGGATTTAATAACACTGTCTTCTGTCCACTCTACTTAATGGTATGGGACTTTCTATTTTTGGAAATTGATGCTGATTTTCTGCTTGAGGCAGTGGTATAGTGTTTCCTTTGAAATAAAATTACCTTAGTTTAAATGAGTTGAGTTCAAGAGAGAAAGCAAATAACAGTTCTGGTGATAGTCAGATATAACAAAAAATTGTAAGGCTGAATGACCCCAACCGGGTAGATACCGTGGGGGCTCGGTGAATCTCCTGAAGCCATATGCAAGCTCTTTTCCAGGGAGAAACTGTGTCTTCCATCAGATTCTCAAAGATATTAGAAACTAAAAAAAGAGCTAAAAAATCCATACTATAAAGTCAAGTTTAACTAAATACCAAAGACTGCAAAGTCTATACTACTTTATAAATCTAGCTTCTGAGATATTTGACAGCATTTAAAAGACCTCTACTTTGTAACAATTACAATGATCATCAAAAAGCAGTGTCTTCACATAAAGATGATTAAATAGCCCTTCTTTTCACAGAGCAGTGTTTCTCCAACAGTATTCCAGGGAACTAAAGACTGAGGAGATATGAACAGATACTTGCTGAAGAGGTTTGGGTGATTCTGCCTACTGTATCCACTCCCCTACCCCAGGGGATTTGCCATGCCAATTAAATAGTCAAGATTTGAAGAAGTCCTCTAAGAAATACATTTAGTTTTGTTCAATTTGGAATTTTCCAAATGTATTTGATCATGAACCCCCTTGGGAAAGAACGAGTGTCCTGAAGGAGTCATCAGCTGCTTCATAAGCTTGTCCTGAAGCCGGGAAGATAGGACACTGAAAAAGGACAAGGCTAAACTTTCTGGAGCAATTATTTGATGGCAAGTGCTTTGGTCAGTGGTTGATAACAAGCAAAAATGGTCAACAGTTTTTATTGTTAGAATAACTGCCATTCATACTTAGAGATGCATTTAGGAAAAAAATTTAAGTTCTCAAAAAGATGACATTGAGTCAATCATGCCTCTAGTGACAAAATACTGATTTGACCGCATCCAGCTGTAGGTGAGCAGTCACCTAAGTCAGTGTTTGCTCACTTTTATTGATTTCCATCTTCTGTTTTGGAATGAGAACTCTTAAGGCACAGCTGTTTTCTACTATTTGGCCACTTCTGTCACTGTATAGAACTTACTGCCACTAAACAATTCATCAACCTCAGAAGTATTGGTAGGGCTGCCCACACTACACAATAGTTGGCTGTCAAACTGTATAAAATGTTGGCAGATTCTCCCTGGCTGTCCTTCTGATGGTGCCAAAAGGCTTACCTGTCACTATCAGGTGTCTTCTTAAAAGGTGCCCTATTACCCTAGTCTGTAAAACCAGTTTTCAAAAATGCTCTTGTACTTATTGAAAACATACTGAAATATCAAACAGTGTTTTCCCCAAAATATAAATAGATACATCATGATAGTTGGTGTTCTCTATTTTCTCTCTTATTAAAAGGGAAATGAAAAATAGAGCTCTGTTGGTGACCTGGTGACCTCTATGTATTTGAAAAGTTAACAGAGGCCAATTTGACACTATATGGCATCTAGAACCTTGAGTCATATTTGCCCTCAAATAACAATTAAGGAGAGTTATAGTTTTACTTAATTTCTTCAATATCAGTGTTAGGAAACTTGGAGCAAGTGCAAAATGGATTAAAGAATTAAATATACACCCTGAAACAATAAAACTTCTTAAAGAAAAC